TTTGCTCCTCTCCTTCAAATGCAAAAGAAAAACTCCCTCATTGGTACCCTATAGCATTTTTGAGTTCACCTCAGTCACCAGATAGAATGTTTTGCAAGTGACTTCTTTTTGTTGTTAACTGTCATTGACTTGAGTTCAACTATAGTGATTATATGAACAACACACCTGAACTCTGTCCTGTCCTGTGCCTTTCTTGTCATGTCTGACACACTTGAGCCCATTACTGCAATCACTGTGTCATTCTATCTTGTTGGGGGTCTTTCTCTCTTTTGCTAACCTTTCCAAGCATGATGTCCCTTCACAAGGAATAGTCTTTTGTAGCAATATACCTGAAGCATGAGAGACGACTCTCAGGTTCTGCCTCAGAAGCTGAAGCAGGGGTCACTGGTTCCGTTCCTCAGTATTTTCAGCTGAGAGCCCTTGCCGCCAGAGCCGCCATTTTGAGTTGAGTTAGAATTGTCTTTTTTGCTGAACTTAGAGCACTTCTTTCTGTGAATAACCGATGCTGAGTTTATAGTAATGAAAAATTGTTTCTATAAAGAGGAAAACACTGAACTAGCAAGTTCAGTTTTTACAACTGTTATCCTTTAAAGATAAACGTATTTATCCATGACATGACATTCTCTCAAATACTATGATTTGGTGTTCCAGAATTATGGTTCTAGTAAAGTTTACACTAAATTATAGCAGAGATTCATTGTTATTCCGTATTTAAGTATTAAGAATCACTCAGATATGAGCTTAATTCCTTTTTTTTTCCCCCACCAAAACCTGGGATCACAAAGTATACAAGATCATAAAGACAATTGCTGATTTTACACATGGCCTGGACTTGCTCTTTTGACTTGAAAACTCCTCTTAAAAGCAATTTAACTGGTTCAAAAGACTTTGAACTGGTCAAGACCTGGTAGGCATAGCTTTCTCCTTCACTTGTAAAACATTGTCAATTTTACTATCAAGGTGATGATGGTATTGTGCTTCCACAAGGCCCTCGTGAGATTCTGGCTTCGTAGGGATTAAAATGGTCCTCCTTTTGCTGCTTTAAAGATTGTATCAAGTATATGTAAGACAGGCTTTGCACTGGGGACTGCAAGGAGGTTTAAAAAAAAGGGCATTTTCTTTGCCTCAAGGAGCCTCTGAGAGGAGAAGGCTGGATCTAGCTCCTTAAAAACACAGCCTAAAGGGAGTTCTGGTGGCCTAGTGGCAAGAAGCTGCACTGCAATCCCAGAGGCACACGGTTCAAATCCACCAGATGCTCTGCTGGAGAAGGAGGGGCAATCTCCTCCTG